ATGTTTTTGAGCTGTCAAAATGATTATATAAGTAACACTAGTTCTGGTGGGATAATAATTTCTCAGATAAAAAAAAGAAACATCTTAAAACTTTGAATAATGAAATACTAAGTTTAAAAGGAATGTTAAAATTATTCCTTTTCTTTCTGTGACTACCATTCTGTACTTCCCTATGAAAACATCTTTGACTTTGCTGATTATTAAAAAATAGCAAATCATTATGTCAAAGATGTATTTAATATGGACATAAAAAAGTAAGAATTAACTCCTTTTATTAAGTCCCATAGTTAAAAGTTTGGGGCGTGTTTTATACTTGTAAATACATGTATGAGTATATATATATTTTAATACAAATACATTTAAAATACATTTTTTTCTGCCTTAATGCATATAGTTTTGCCTCATCATGTAAATCTGCTGTGATTTAGTTTTCTGATGATACAGATTTAGAATTTTTCTAATTTTTTTGTTATAAGAAGTGGTACAGTAGATACTTTGTACATATGTCATTATTTCTCAAATTATTTTGGGGGGATAAATTCTTGGGAATAAAACTGTTGTGGCAAAAAAATTTTATTTTATGTTTTTATTTATAGTTTTTATGAAATTGAACCACCAGAAACTTGCACCAGTTTATACTCCTGTCAGTAATGGAGGGTGTTGATTTTACTACACTTCCCTAGCATTTCTGATTTTAACATCTTTGTAAATCTGATAGGTGAAAATATTTCATTTCTATTGGCATTACTTTGTTTATAAGTGAACTTGAACATCTTATAGTATTGAGTGCCATTTATAAGGATCTGATGACTTTTGATTTGCATCTTCCTTGGAATGATGGTAGCGCTGTAGAGGAAAATTGGTGATTTTAAGTCATGAAGTCAGAAGAATAATTGAGTATATGGGTATAGAACTTCTCCCCCAAAATTTGTGTCTTCATCCACATATCACTGCCTTGAAACTATGGGATAGAATGATCCTTAACAGTTTCTAGTAAGCAGGAGTGAGTTGTTAAATGACGGTCCTGTATTAACTCGCTAAAACCAAGTACATATAAAAAATACCTGTTTTCTTCATTTAATACTTGCATCATCTAAGTGTTTCTCAGTTTTTTTCATTATTGCCTCCCAAAGGGCCTTTAGACATTTACCCTCTGATTGCCCTCCGTGATACTTTGTTACAGAGACACTGCATATCTGTTTATGTACAATGGCCTTCTGGAGGGTCATAAACCATAATATCTGAGATTATTTTTACCCTCCCAAAAACCAGTTTTCACCCCTTTTGGAGTGATGCTACCCGCATCGAGAATGTGTGTGTGTGTGTGTGTGTGTGTACATTCGAGGAGGAGGAGAAAAGTTTTGCTATGCATGACTAGTTGCCTCAGTTTCATGGGAGTCAGAGAAGAGGTCAGTGTTTGTTACTTTGTTAGGTTGCCCAGAAGGGAACATTAGCTTTAATAATTGCCACCTTACTTCACCAGTCTATTATCAAACTCTGAACATCGTGCCTTGGGATGCCTGAGTTACATAGAATATTCTGGGTACAGTATTTTATTCTTGAGAATGTTGATAAATATAGCAAGGACACAGTGACATTATCATAGTGGTAGACATTTTGCTGAATTTGGGAAAGAGTAGTCCTAATGCATTAAGAGTAATAGTAAATGTTTAAACTTCTATCTCGGTGGTTCTCAAACTGTGGTGATACTGCCTCCCAGAGGACATTTGCATGGGAGCATTTTTACTTGTCATAACTGGAGGAGTGGTATTGACAGTGGCATCTCATTAGTAGAGATCTGGGATGCTGCTGAGCGTCTTGTAATGCACAGGACAGCGTATCCCACCCACCTCCATATAAAGCATTATCTGGTCCAAAATGTCAGCCCTGCCGAGGTTGTCAAACCTGGCTGATTCTACTTTTTGGAATCTATCTTCAGAAAATAACCCAAAATGCAGAGGCAGTTTTACATGTGCATAAAGATACTCACTGAAGCATTAACTTCAATATTTTTTCCTTTTCAAAGTATGCTCTTTTAGAAGACATAAAAACAAAATATATAATTATTCACAGTAATGTTTTGGGGGTTTTGGTATATATTTTTTAAGTGAGACATGTATCACATGTAGTATGTAATTATGAAATGTGGGAAACAAACTTAATTCTTTTAGACTTAGAAAGAGCTTTGATTGGCCCTCTCAGGACTGTATCAATTCCAGGAACACTATAAAGAACTGGAAACTGGGTTAGAGATAATTAACTCACTCATTTTAGGAATATTTTATACAACCAACACTCCATACCCTCTTTTTGTCCACTTCTTTACTTAAATCTTTTACTCTGATTTATGTGCTCCTCCCACTGGGCTCTGAATTACTGTTCTTAACTGCCTCTTACACTATTATAAACTAAAAAAGTACAGGCAGTTTTTCCATGAAGTTGACTTTTAGTTCTGTGTATCAGTAGGGGTAAATGATAGCCCTGTTACTGGGGATATGCTTTTATTTTTTCTTTGCTATGATTTAATATGTAGGAACAAATGATAAAAAAAATTGGAAGCATTCATAATATCTATCAGTAGAAAATAAAGAGATTTGACATTGTTCATGCAATGAAATACTGTACAACAGTTAAAATTATGGAACTAATCTCTATGTATCATAAGTAAACCTCTAAAGCATAATGTAAATGAAAAGAAGGCATAGAATATTTAGAGTATAACATTGAAGTAAATGTTAGTATCATACAAAATACTGTACTGTTTAATAGATTGATATAGGTATATACATAATATAACCCATACGTGTGTGGCAAGAATACATACCCAACCTCAAGATAGTAGTTACCTCTGATGATAGGAAGGGAATTGGATCAAGGAACAGTACAAAGTATCATTAACCATATCAGTAACCTTTTATTTCTTAGAAGAAAAAAATAAATGTGGCAATAATGCAAATTGGTTAAATTTGAGTATGAGTACGTTGAATATTTTTTATATTACCCTTTTTTTCTTTGTTTTTGAAATATTGCAAGATTATATGTTTTAAAAGTAAACGTGCCCTGGCCAGTGCAGCTCAGTGGGTTGAGTGCCGGCCTGTGAACCAAAGAGTCACTAGTTCGATTCCCAGTCAAGACACATGCCTGGGTTGTAGGCCAGGCCCCCTGTAGGGGCCAAATGAGAGGCAACCTCATATTGATGTCTCCCTCCTTTTCTCCCTACCTTCCCCTTTCTCTAAAAATAAGTCTTAAAAAAAAGTAAATGTACTTTTCAAATTTGTTCATGTTTGATTGAACTAAGGCCAAATAGAGAAAGATTTTTATAATAGCCATAATTTAGCTGTGTATATATACTAAAATAGTAATTAATGACTTCCTTATGACCACAAGTAGAAACTACAGCAAATAAGATGATTTCCAATGGCTTTTCTCTTATTTTTGGAATGTTGAGTACTTTCCGAAGATATTTAGGATCTATTGAATGTTAAGAAAGGTGAATTGTTCTTGAAATTACTCAAGCGGTGATTGGGGTGATTGAATATTATGTACAATTCTATATGATGAAAGAGCTCATAATTTTCCCCCTGTAACTTAACATGCAAAAACAAGTATGTTTAGAAAGAAACTGTTGTGCATTAAGATAAAAAAATCAGCTTATTTATTATGAGGAGAGAAATGTGATATCTTTCTGCCTCTTGATGGTGATATTGTACTATGCCAGTTTCACAGATAACAAATATTGTAAGCTTTTTCTTTTGGAAAAATTATTTATTTGAAACTGGTAACTGTTATGTTTGCATTCAGAATTTTTTATAAAGGTTTTTGCCTCTGAGATTTTAGACATCTGAACTTTAAATTAGTAAAAGGTGCTACACAACTTTGTTCTATCAAAATAATATTAAATATGGTTGTTTCTTGTATGATATATGGCACTGCTGACATACACATAGTCAAGCATATTTTTCTCTTGCTAGTGCCAAAATCTGTCTTGTTAAAGAAAACTTTCTATAAGCAGATCCTTGATAACTTCCTCTAATAGACAGATTTTTACTTGATTTTAGGATCATTGTTCTCTGACAAAAATTTAACTAAATCATAGAAATGTTTGGTGGGAGATACTTTACCAGATTGTATTTAAGGAAAATTCTTTTAGATTTTTGGGCCATGTTGCTAAGGCATAGATTTGTAGGAGATGCTGCCCATGGCTTGGACATGCTGCCGACCATTAACTTGCAAGTGGGTTGTTAGAAATTTCTAAGTAAGGAAAAAATGTGTAAAATCATCATGTAGCAAAGATATTTAATCCATCTGTGATGGATTCACTGTTTTGAGTGTGAAGTAGTTTTTAAAAAAGAATGGTGTCTAGAGTCACCAAATTTAAATATATTAAATTGAACATATGGTTATTTTTCTAAAATCAGACATTTAGTAAATTGCTGTTGTGGATCCTGTATGTATCAAAGTTAGACTTGAAAGCAAAGGGACTCTAGCTTAGAGTGCATTCTGCTTAGCAACCAACTTGTTGTCTACTGTTTTGCTACTGAATGCACGCACTCATGGCTCAGAAGTATATCTGCAGCCAGCTGGTCTCAGCCGGACAATACTTCATTCACTTAATTTCCAGACTAGTCAAGCAAAGACATCAGCTCATTGTTTTTAGTCATGAGGAAATTTATTTGTAAACTTCAAGTAGTAGCACACTGATCTCAAACGCCCTTGGACTGTGAGAAATTGCCATCTAATTCAGCAGTGTCAAGTCCTTGGAATTCAGAACTGCTTCATTAATTTTTTTTTCTCCTTTAAAAACTCATGCAAGTATATTGTTTGGAAAGCATGGCCTCTAAAATCCTAGAAAAGAGATATTAGCTCTGAGTAAAAAATACACATTAAAATCTAAGAATTCTTTTTGAGTTTTTATCTGAAAACAAAAATTTAGGAAGCTTGATTTGTTTTCAGACTTTTATTTTCTGCCTTGATTATTATGTGATTATTTTCTCTCTTAGAAAGCAACAGTTTTGTTGGCATGTGAAGCTTCAGTTTCCTCAGAGTCAAGCTGTGTACATAGAAAAAAGGTACAGTATTACCACTGTCTATTAAAAATGTATTTGTTTTTATTATGTCTCTGTATTGAAAATTAAGTAATTAACTTAAATGTGATATCAGTAACTATATATTAGTAGTAGAATGGGTAACAAAATTGTGTTGTAGTGATAGAATGAAATACTAAACACCACTGAAAATGAATGACATACAATCCAGTGTGGATGAATCTTAGAAATAATGTTGAGTGAGAAAAGCATGTTGAAAAGAATGCATTAGAGTATAACTGTTTGTAATATGGAAAGAAAAAAAGTGTTTTTGGGAATACCCACAGAGGTGGTAGAACTTGAAGGCAAACGATTAGCACAGAAATCATGACAATGTTTACTTCAGCACAGGGGACAGGCATCAAAGAGAGATTCAGGGAGAATTAAGAGAGCTGAAAACTGTCTATTTCTTAAACTGGGTGGTTTTATAGGAAGTGAAAAATGACCTAAAATGCTACTATGCAAAGAGATTACTGCTATTAGTAATAGGTGTCTTGCAAAAAATACATCATTTTAGGCATGTATATATGTATGTCTATAATTGGAATTAATTTGTATACACAGTTTTTTATGTTTTTTCCATATTATGAGCATTTTCAGGTATCATTTAAAAGTTTCAATGGTTGTGTACTATTTGATTCATTGAATTATGAAAATTTTAAAGTTGCTTTTTAAGTAATATACTTAACATATCCACGTGATGCATAAATCCTTCTTTGTCATTGTCATATAGATTTTAGTGAAACCCTTTCTTATTTGAAGGTGCATACTAGATGAGAGACAGGGAAAGAACTTAAATTTTACAGGTAGGGGTATATAGCACATTAGTACATATGAAGATGTATAAATGATTGAGGAATGTTACTAGTTCAAAACAGTGTCTTAATTTTGTTTTTACAGCTTTATAGTTTAAAACAATGTGCATACATATAGGAAAGTTGGGAAACCTAAAATGCTTAGTTTCTGGGGAAAGTAGTATCAAGTTTTTAACCTGTTTTTATGATTTGGAATGAATAAACTTGAACATGCACTGAAATTAGTATCATCTGAAATGTTTTTTCAGATTTTATATTTTTGCAACTTTTCAAATATATTTCATCCTGACTTCTTTCTTTTCATCTTCGAGCACAGGTGTGTGTTAAAAGAGGCTCCATATTTTTATAATTAATTTATAGGGAGCTTCTCAAAATAATATTTTTTTAAGACTTTGTTAAGTGGGTCCAAGAAGTCTTTTTGAGATTATTTTTCTAAGTAATTTTTTGCTTAACAAGCCTTTATATTTTGCCAAGATTAAAATAAAAGGTCTGTGTTCATTACTTAAAAAAAAACCCACAAGATTTAGTGATTCTAAGTTAACACCTTTAGTAGAAAATTATAAATAATAAATTTTGATTTTGTTTTTTTTTCTTTGTTGGGAAGAGTACCAGAAGATAAAACTATTAATGAAATTTTAAGACCATACATTGACCCAGAAAAGTCTGATCCTGTAATTCGTCAAAGGTATGTTTTTAAAATCTTGTCACTTTCTAAAATTATTTAAAATGTTGAAGTATTTGTTATGTGCATATTTATTATGGGATGTTAAGACTATTAGAATGTCATGTGTCAATGCCATTTAATTTCTGTTCCATTTCCTTGGTTTTCAGTCAAGGCTTTGTCAGAGATGATGCTTTTGGATAGTAATTAATGTAGTAATAGAGTAAGTAGTTCATACTCTACTGTGTTCCAGATACTCTTTGAAGCAGATAATAATAAATGTATTAATTCACTTAATCCTCACATTAGCCCATTCAAGTAGATTACTGGTATTACACCCATTTCACAGAAGGGGATACTTAACTATAAAGCGGTTAAGTGACCTCACATAGCTAATAAGTAGGGAAGCTGCGATGCAAACCCAGCAGCCTGGAGTCAGCGTCTATACTCTTAACCCTGAAACTAAAATGCCTTTCAAGTTGAACCAAAACCTGAACATTTGGAGTTTCCAAGTAACTGTTACAGACAGGAAATCCTGTTTCAGCCAAGCCTTCATAAAACTAAGTAAGATATACTCTGTCTCCTGTCCAGAAATACAGCATGGACAAAAATAATTAGCATAGCCCAGTGGAAAGAGTAGGTAATGAATGTCTAGGTTAGAATAGCTAGGTCTTTTCCTTATGAGCTATGTGATCAGGAGCAAGTTACTTAACTTCTGGGCCTTATTTTTTTTTTTCCATTAATAAAATGAGATAGGTAATAATCTCATTTTATTAATAGAAATGAGATTATTTAGATAGGGTTGTTATGAAGCTTAAAAAAGAGCATATATAAAGTTCCTAGTACAGGGCCTTGCACATAGTAGGCAGTGCTTTAGAAAGGAAACTGTTACTAGAATATAAATCATTAGTGTTCCTGGGCAGGAACCCAGTTGACTTTCTTCTTACCAGATGGTACCTGCTTGGGATATCAATGCTTGGTTTGGTTCCAGAGTAACCTGGTGTTTAAAATTTATACTGAGTGGATTCTAAAATGTCTACATTAGTTTTAGTTAAATCCTATCATCTGCTTTTGATAAAAGGGAGTATCCAAATGGATCAGACTGAATCAGATCCATGTCACATATCAAACAGTGTCGTGGGACAGGTGAAAAAGTTGGGTTTCATTCCAATTACTGATGATCCAGTTGTTACCATTGGTCATATATTTGGCAATAAAACAAAATACCTACCACTAAATAGCATACATTTTAAAAGAAAATAAAACAGCAAGATTAATTTACTGAAAAAATTGTTTTTTTAAATTTAAGTTACTTAATTCTACAAAGAGAAGAGATAATTTTTTAAAATTCAGATCCTTGGTTAGAAAATATCTTTAGCCCTTTTTTTATGCTTGTATAGATAAATTGTAAGTGCTGTTAGTGATTCATAAATGGTCTCCCATGGACGCTATTTTGAAATATATTAAAAGTCAATTTTGCTTTTTCAATGTGACATTTTTATTTCAGGTTGAAAGCCTACATTCGCTCTCAGACTGGGGTCCAAATTTTAATGAAGGTTGAAAATATGCAACAAAATTTAGTAAGGTAAAATTGCACCCCCCCATTTATTTAAATATTTTATAATTCTGCAATGTAATTAAGTAACTTGATTAGCTTAAGTAGCTAGTTATACTAATTATCTGGCTATAAATAAAGCCTAGGCTTTAAAAAATGACTTTCAAATTACAATTTTAAAATAATCACCCTTATGGGATAAATTCGGTTGAAAAATCACCATGGTTGGAATATTTAAAAATAATGTCATGTGCAACTAAAAGATTTCTAAGTTGCATTTTAACTTATTTCAATAAATATTCTCTGCAAAAGAGTTTCAGTTGTTCCAGAGTTCCCGTATTCAAGTTATTTCTGGAAATAAAAAAATTCTTGTGACCAACTTATTGTTGCATATATTGCAGCAGAAAGAACACTGCATGCAAATATGAAGGGAGTCAGGTTCTGACAACTGGGAAGGTTTGATAAAGTTCTCAGCATGACTGGGCTCTGTTCCTTCATGAATGAAATGAAGTGGACTATGCTAAATGTTCCCTGGGAGTCCCTGCAGTTTCTTGAAGTGCCGGTTATGTGTTAGCATACTGAGTTGCAAAATACTGAGCCTTTAGACTTCCAATGCTTTTCCCCTGTTCCTGTTGTTTAATTAACAAAACTACTAGATCCAATTCAGACTAGATCCGGTTGACCTTGTCTACATTTTAATTTGCTAGTATGGCTTTAGAGGTTTGAGAATCCAAGCTATGAAAGCATAGCTGCCTTTGAATCCCAGCTCTGCCTGCTACCAGTTATCTTAAGTAAATTATATAACTTCACTTGCCTTAGGTTTCTCATGTCTAACATGGGGACGATAATAATAATTATAAGATTGTCATGAAAGATTATGTAAACTCATTTTTCACATGGTAAGTGCATCATGCTTTTATAACTATTACTACTAGTACTCTAGATAAATGGATTCTTACAAAAGGTCTACACATAAGATTATAAGATTTTATAACTAAGAATGGATCGAAACATGAAATCTTGACCACTTCTCTTACCAACATATATCAAATACTACTAGCTTTATATAATTGTTCATGGTTCATTGATGAAAAATTCAGGCTTTCTTTCACATAGCCATTTCCCTAGACTCATTAGTTCAGTATATTTACTTGCAGTTCATTGTTTAACTTCACTTCTTCCCCTAAAAGATTTGGGGTCCCAAATAAAGAATAGAAAGGTCTGTGGTTTCTGCAAAGATAGTTATCCAGAGTGACAACATCCATGTTAAGCAAAGTCAATTATTTCTGAAATTGATAATCACATATGTTTAGCAAAATCCTAAAGTGAATTCCGTATAACTCATGTTTAAACAAAATAATTTACATTGCTCCCTTGGAATTTACCTTTTACCAATCATTAATGTTTTTCTTTTATTATCTATGTTTCCTCTCCCAAATTTAGTTCCTTTCTTAATTTGCACCATATTTTATCTAGTTAGTTTATGCAAATGTTACTCATTTTTCATACAGTGGTGCATACTTGATGAGTATATGATGGCTTCAGTCTCATAAGCCTGCTAAGAGAACATTAGGGTTTATATGAAAATTGAAATTGCTTTTGGATAGTTGTCTCATATCCTTCTCTAGGCCATGGAACTAACTTGTTTTCCAGTCTTGTCCTGACAGCCTGGTCACACGTCCAACCATTCTGGCACTTCAGCACCATTCTGAACATTTGCCAACTCCTTGTCTTAGGCTGCTGGTGTGGGGACAGTATACAAATGGCTCCAGAAGGAATGGGAGGGAGACAGTGTAAGTGTTAATCTATCTCAGTTCAGGAAATTTTTATTCTTAAATGCAGTGAGAGTAGAAAACTGATTGTCTCATCATTTCCTTCACGTGCGCTTATCTGACCCTGAATAATTACAAATAGTAGCCAGAGGCTACTCTTGTCATGACTGTGTGAGTGGGATTATTTATTTTATTTTTTATTTTTAAATCATTTTTTTAAAGATTTTATTTATTTATTTTTAGAAAGAGGGGAAGGAAGGGGAAAAAGAGAAGGAGAGAAAGATCAGTGTTTGGTTGCCTCTTGCGCATCCCCTACAGGGGGCCTGGCCTGCAACCCAGGTATGTGCCCTGACTGGGAATCGAACCAGTGACCCTTTGGTTCACAGGCCAACACTCAATACACTGAGCCACACCAGCCAGGGCTATTTATTTTATTTTTTAGTTAATAAATATGTATATGAAACACCAGATTGCTTTTATAGAATTAAATACAAATACTATTTTTGGGATCAACTTGATCACATTCACCTTACTTACCTCTAATCAGCCAGATAATTAAACTTCTTTACCAAAGTTAAGGAAAGTAACCTATATCACTTTGGTACAACTGCTAAGAACAAAAGGTTTTGGGGGGACTTCTGTTTGTTTTTGTTTTAGTTTTGTTTGTTTTATTTCTATTTTTATTTCCTTCATTAACCTGAAGGAGGAGATTTGTTATATATCCATTTTAAGTCAAGGCAAATTGGACTGTGGCCAGTGAAGAAATGTGCCAGCTTACTAAACAAGTTACACTTGAATCTTTGGCAAATTGTTCTCTTCTTCCAAAATTCAAGGAAACCAAAATTGTATGGGATAAAAGGTAAATGTAGGATACAAGGTATTTTAAAGTTTATACTATAGGACAGACTGCTTGGGCCCAGATAGGATCCATTTTATTTTATTTATTTTTAGAGGAGAAGGGAAGGAGAAAGAGGAGAGAAACATTGATGTGCGAGAGATACAATGATCAGTTGCTTCTTGCACGCCCCTTACTGGGGACCTGGCCTGCAACCCAGTCATGTGCCCTAACTGGGAATTGAACTGTGACTTTTTGGTTTTCAGGCCAGCACTCAGTCCACTGAATCACACCAGCCAGGGAGATAGCATTCATTTTTAACCTGGAAATAGGTATTATAAATGCAAGAGGCAAAGGGGATGGAAATCTCACTGTGTCCCAGCAGACCAGGGTTTTCTAGGAGTATGGCAGAAATGTATGGCGTGACTGGGGGGAGTAGTCGGGAAAACCATTTCTTGCCGTTGCATAAGAAGAAATCTGGGTACGTGTAGACCAGAACACAGGAAGGTGCCAGTAGATTGTATGGTTTATTTTAACAGAGTCAAAAAGAGTAAACCTGAACCAAGAAAAAGGCCAAAGAAATTCAACTTCTGGCTTCTTTTTCCTTAGGTTCTTCACTTCTATTTTACAAACTTCCTTCCTTAGGAACCCAGCAAAGGACTGAAGGTGTGCCTTGGGTTAATCTTTATCCCCAAAGGGGAGGAAGATGATAGGTTAATAAAGTAAAAGATGAATGGTGTTAACTTTAAGGAATACCTAGAATAGGCTGTATTGACATGATGGTAAACCTGAGCCCGACTGAGTAACGTGAGAGGTGCTTTGACTCTACCTTATCTGTGTAGAAACCTTTCCTTCAGATTTCCCCATTTGAGTTGTTTACTTGAACTCGATGTGACATATGCAAATACTGCCAAAGAAGAGGAAGCAAACAGTTACAACCTAGGTCCAGGAATTTTTCATATAAAAATTGCCGCCTTATTTAATTTTGAGTAGTGATGGTATCACTCTAAGGCAACAATAATGTCAGAAACTCTTACTGGGGTAGCTTTTATCCTGAGGTAGACGCTACATTGGGGCCAGGTAGAGCCTTACATTTCCCTGTAAGTCAGCCTAAAGATAGAGTTATCCTAATTTCTATCCTAGTTTATAATTCCTTGTATTATAAGTATTTTCTAATCATGAATAATGAAATTAGATATTACAGGGATACATTTAGAAATAGATTTTTATTTTATTTTTTAATTAGATACTTTAAAACCATAATGTTCTCCAAATAATACATTCATAGGCTAGATGAGCATTTATATTTGATTGTATACTTACTTACAGTTATACCATAAAGACAAGTACATTCAGAGAACATCTAAGCAAGATTATTATAGGTTATAAAATATGAGGTTTCTAATTTAAAATAAGCATATAAATAGGAAGGTTTTATTATTTCCTGAAAAGTGCTTAGAAGGCAAAAACATGTAGTTTCTTTGTGGTTGTTTGATTTTAAATGAACAATTTAGAGTGTTCCATTAATTTCAGAATGAAATTCTTTTTACCAAACACTTGATGTTTCTAATTTCCATGGGTTGCTTTTTCCACTTTTTGAGGGTTTATAACAATTGTCTCATGATATACCTGATCAGCTAGAGCAATCTTATATGTTTCCCAGGATTTAGCTTTTCCATACATAACTTTTATTGTTAGATTTAGCCAATCATGAATACGTGTCTAACCCTAAGGAATTTGCCGTTGATCTGTTTGGGAGTTTTCTTTTCAGAATACATAGGGTTTGAATTAGTGTCTTCTTAGATAAGCTAATGTGGCTTCTTAAGTAAAATCATTTATTCATTCAGCAAACACTTAGTGAGTATCCACTATGGTACAGGTATTGTTCTTGACCTTAGGGTGATATCAGTAAGGCACACCATTCTTGTTCTGTAGCACTTACATTCCCAGCGGAGGAGAATTCATGTAAGGTGCTTGTGTTAGCAAGGGCACAGTTGCCCTCTTGTCACATCATTTCTTACCAGCTTTCTAATCTCAGAGTGTAAATGAATGATTTTGAATCAGAAAAGCCTGCACTGGCTATGCCAGGCTCTGCCAGAGGCAGCCGCTGCCCTGCTGCTCACTAAGTTGTTATTGACTGGTGAGTTCAGAGTAGTCCTGGTTTTGCTACTGTCCAGGCAATTGTAATTTTCCAAATCTATTAAATTTTAGGTCTCTATTGTACTTGGACTTATTAATGGAATCATTTATTTTCATAAAGAAGTTCAGATACATTTTCTACTCTGTGTTGATTTTCCTGCTTTGATATTTATATAAAATCCTGGTTTTGATAAGGATGTGGTTTAAGCTTTTGTGGGATGATTTTTTTTTTCAACTTAGAAACCATTAATTAAGCACATTTAATTTTCCACATATGAAGAAAA